TAATATAAAAAGTTACTTATAAGTAAAAAAATCATTTCAAGTTATTTAAAAGTAATAAAAAACTTATAATTGTAAAAGCTACTTAGATAAAAAAATATTAATCTTAACATTTTAAAGTAAATATTTAGATGTATTTAATTATTTAAAAATTAAATATTAATAAAAAAATGCTATAATTAAAAAAAAAAACATATACTAGGTGTAAGGAGTGCTGCAAGAAGTGCCAAGCACTCCATGTATTATATATATATATATATATTTTATAATTATGGACTTCCGTACCAGCTCACGCGCATCTCAACTAATCCCACGAGACCCTAAAATTTATAACCAGATACGCACCTCAGTGGCCCTGAGATGACTCGAACTGATGATCATTAGGAAACAAACCCAAATCCTGATCACTGAGCTATCTCTTAGGGTTAAGTCAATGCAACTTTCAAAAAATTAGGATACCCAAAAACATCTATATATATACGTGTAGAATTTTTTATAAGTTAAATAATAAAATTCAGCATAATATCATTATAATAAAAAGGCCATTAAAACAAAATCTTGAAAAAAATAAAGTAAAATACTAAAGCATTTTATCTTAAGCATAAAGAAGTATAAACTGTGTAGTTATCTATTTTCTTAAAACACATTTACTTTTTCCGAAACTGTTTAGTACTATATATTATCGATTTTTAATAAGTTATTGATAATAATGAATAGTTTTTATTAAGTGAAAAAACTTCGTCATATATTGCCAATAATAATAAGTTTAGAACCAATATTTTTTTCTTCACATGTCTTAATTAGTCTGATACGTATCGAAAATTTAAAAAACACACATCCAATAAATTTGTATGCATATCAAATATGCATACGCAACAAGTTTATATATCCATGCTTCTTAGAAATTAAAGACTTAAAATAAAAATCTTGACCCATTTTTTATTCTTAAAAATTGCTCAAAAATTGTACCCAACAGATCATGTTTTACAGTCTCTTAAACAAGATTATATATCCATGCTTCTTAGAAATTAAAGACTTAAAATAAAAATCTTGACCCATTTTTTATTCTTAAAAATTGCTCAAAAATTGTACCCAACAGATCATGTTTTACAGTCTCTTAAACAAGATTATATATCCATGCTTCTTAGAAATTAAAGACTTAAAATAAAAATCTTGACCCATTTTTTATTCTTAAAAATTGTTCAAAAATCGTACCCATCAGATCATGTTTTACAGTCTCTTAAACAACTATATCTTCCCCATACTAGGGTTTGGGGTCCCATCAATAAAAAGACACCTTACCGTTGAAATCTAGCTGGAAAAGCTCAGAATCTTCTCAGAGATGTGTAAAACCAACAAGATTGTCCTTTTAGGGTGTGCTAGGGAGTTTTAGTACCGATTATGGGGCTTTTTTAAAGTATTGGTCTCAAGGGTTTAAGAGGGGTTCCATTTTGGATGCCTTTTTGCAGTGGTTTTTAAAACAGTCCAATCTGTGCTTGAAGCCTATTGTCCACTAGTTTCAAAAAATTTTAGAAGGATAAATAATAATAATAATACTAATAATAATAATAATAATAATAATAATAATAATAATAATAAAGGTATTTGTGAGAAATATAGAGTAAATTTTTATGTCCCTCCTAACAATTCAATACGGCTTTATATAGTTTATCCAATCATTTTATCTTGTGTATGGATTAACCTTTAGACTTATTTTTGTTGCTTTGAATAAGCTCTCAAATGCTAATCATTTTCAGTTGGATTATAAAATGAAGAAAAACGAAAGTAATTGTGAAACTAATTTCAACATGTAAGTACATCTAACATCTTTCTGATAAATACTTATTAAGAGAAGACATTCAACTTTTACTTAGTAAAATTTCACTTTATAATTTCTTATATGAAAATATTTTATTCATAAGTGATGTTTACTTATGAGTAGTTTTTTCATATAAGTTAATTTTTAGCTTAAAAGTGAATTAAATCATAACTAAATTTTAAATTGTAAGTAATTTTTTGTTACAATGTAATTTTTTTGCTTATAAGTAAATATTTTAGTTATTTTATCTTTTATTTAAAAGGAACTTTTACGTATAAAATTAAATTTTTGTCTTGAAGTAATTCTTTACTTAAAGTAATTCTTAAGAGATGCATCCATCAGTTTTGAACAAAATATGTCAGGGGTAAATAATTATTTTAGAAAATAAAATTGAAGGAAAATTTGAAAAAGACCAGAAACCACTGATTTAGTGGGTTAAGAAATACAATCCAAATTACTATACTGATTGCAAAATAACAAGCACTAGTGTTTCCAATCTCTCATAAACAGTGTCATCCTAAAACTGCAAAAAACAGTGGAATAAAACTGTCAAGCTGGCCCTTATGGTTAGTTTTTCTTTTTCTTTATTTTTCCAAACAAATATGGACACGAATCGGGGGCGTGCCGGCACCGTATTGATGCATCTTAGACAAGCATAAATACAAAAAGAAAGAAAGAGACAGATTGCAATCATAAATTCCTTGCGTCTTGAACATGATTATATGAGCAAATAGAAGTAAAAGATCTTGAGATACATACTATTCGGATGAAACATTCGGGAGATGAATCGCACTGTTGGCGGCTTGTTTGGGTAATCCTCAGTGAATTGAAGTGTCAACTTAAACGTACCTAAAAGCAAACAGTAATATGCCCAATGAACAAACCATTAACTTCCCAGGAATGGAAAGAATGGAACATTATTCAGTCCATAATGAAAAGGAAAACGGAATATGAGAAGAGCAGCATATTACAAAGACCAAAGCAGCAATCGTTCAAATTTCTCATAAGAGTGAAATCAAAAGATTCTCTAATATGGTGAGAATATATACTCAAAAAGATTCATTAAGTGGCCATCATCTAGAAGAAAATCTCTCCTAGGCACAACATAAAAGCATGAATATAAGCAAACGGACATTCTACCCTTGTCAACAAAGCACATGGGCGTAGCCTTTGTTTGACATCCTCGGGCAAAATAAGAACCTGTCACTTACCGTGCTCTACAGGGCAGATCCGTATAATTCAAACTTGAAACTTTTTGTTGTAGATGTTAGGCACTGAATTGACCCACTCAGAGAAAATTCAATGCTCCAACTTAGAATAGATAATAAAAGAAAATCGTCTACTTCAGCTGCTAAGTAAAAATAACAAACAGTGATTTAACCACTGCCATGGACAGCAGCACATCGAATATAAAAACCTTTATTCTTACTTAAAATGGTATATAAAATCCCAACGTAGATCATGTGGAATGTACATCCACAAGGCGGTGTCAATATCACTAAAGCAACAAATAGACTTCTTACCCATAAATTTAGTACAGAAGTCCAAATCTATTATGAACCCTAACATAATAAAAATTAACACCTGAAATGAAACTGAAACAATCAAACAATGCACCAATTATCATTGAAATCAACACAAAGCTAATTTTTTAGTGTAAGAATTGTCTCACCTCCGTCCCAGGGAGTGTCATCGGGTCTACAATCAAGAAAAAGCAAAGAATCAGTAAAAATTTAAACTTCATTGTATCATTAATGGCACGCACTACATTCACAGAACATACCCAAAAATAACGGCGTTCCAGAGCATGATGTTATTATCATATGGCGCGCCACTGATGCCCGCGGGAGGGTCCTGCTGCAATCGCTTGAAATCCCTCATCAACCTTTTCCTCGATGGCGTCGACATCCTCACCTCCTACAATCAACCATCCGATTAAAATCCACCTTTTTCCAAATCCCAATTCCCAATTCCATCCAATAATAATAATAATAATAATAAACACAAAACTCCACGACAACAAAAATAAATCAAAATAAATCCTAACTCACATCACCATATCAATCATGAAAACAACATCAAAACCCTAGATCCACAAGTTATACATACAAGTCAAAATCAATGAACTCGGGTCCTAAATAAGCACATATACGCACATACAACTTATGCACGACAACAATCAGATATGAAGCAATTTACCCAAGTGAAAGCGGTAAACTTGAGAGAGAATGGTAGAAAAGTAATACTTTACGATCGGCCGCCCGAGGAGTTTGTGACAATTTCTGGCCTTCAAATATTAAATACAAGAAATAGAAATTTTCGCGTCATATATACGCAGGTTGAGGCATTTATTTCCGTATCAGTTCGTCCGTGACAGGGCTTGTAATCAAGTACACATATATCATTATTGGATTCAATAATATTGAAGGAATATTTTCTTTCTATGGGTGAAAAAATTCTTGCGTATATAGTTTAAATTTTTAGTAAATTTTAATAAAAGTGAGAAATAAGGTGTATAATTGTGCAATTAAAAATAAGTATGAGAAAAAATGCATCCATTTCTTCTTACTTCATAGTGCTCGACTCTTCTTACGTGGCATAGAGTTATCTCTACAAGTGTATTACAATAAAAGGGGTGCCTCAATTGAGATTGTGATCAATTTTAAAAAAATAAAATAAATAAAAAAATAAAAATAAACTTCCAAATGTAGATTTAGGTGTCTTCGATTGAAATTTTAGTAAAATTCAATGAAAACTTTTAGAATTTAGGTATCCTCAATAACTAGCGAGTGGATCGTTACCTGAAGTATAGCATAAACATAAAAAGATGAAGGGGGCCCATTTGAAGAATAAGAAAATATCATCGTGATTTGGATTTATAAAAATTTCATTAATATAGGGACTTTAAAATATTTGGATAGATTTCAAGTTTAAAAATACAAATAACTATCATTTGAAATTTCACCATATTTGATAAAATTCTTATAGAATTTTTGAAAGTTTATTCAAATCCACGAAAATCATTAGGATTTATAATTTTTTAAAATCCATCAAAATTTTAGTTAAGGACACGTCCGTAAATCAAGTTTCTTTTTATTCATTTTTAACTTTAGTTACCATTTTTTAACATGTCTATACTGAATAAGGTGACTCGCATTTCGTCCTTGAATTTTGAAAGATTGTAGAATTTTTTTTCCAAATCATACATGCAACTTCTGTTGGACATAACTTTTTTTGTATAATCTTTATTAAAAAAATAAAATGCCTCCGCAGAATATGAGAGAACCTACGATCCAATGTACGGAAATTAAGCCATTCAGGCTTGACTCCTGTAACATAATTATGGGAAAGTTAGAAAGACCAAAAAAAGAGAGAGAGAGAGAGAGAGAGAGAGAGAGAGAGAGAGAGAGAGATGATACCCCCGTTAAGCATAAAGGGAGAATGGCAACTCATTTAGTACATATCATAAAGGGTGCAATGTGGGAAATTTGAGGTTTTATTTTTATTTTATATTTTTGTATGGAAAGTGAGTCTAATTTCCCATTTACTTTATATAATTAATTTTAGCCCTCGTTTGGTCCCCATTTTGTGAAAAAATTAATGGATGGAGTAATACTTTTTTGAAAAAAAGAGTGGTTGAAAAGGAAGAAATTTTTTTCGATTCACGTGTAATATTATTTTATGAAAGATTGTGTGGTTGAAAATTGGAGAGAGATGAATGAAATATAATGGAATGAAAATTAATGAAAGTGCTTCATCTCAATTGGGAAACTGAAAATTTAATTAATAAAATGAACAATTAAAGAAAATTTTCGAACTAGTATGAGTCGTCAAGGGCAGAGCCAGGAATTACTATAACGGTGGGCTAAAAATTTTAAAAATTAGATACCATGCTATTAGATACTCGCCATCAAGGGTCGCCTTAATTCTAATAGTCGCAGTTTCAAACCTCATATCCTGCATCAAATCCACTCTTCGCCCTTCTCTGATAATCTAGAAGTAGACCCAAAATGAAACGGATCATTTACAATAACTTACCAAGAGCAAAATTAACATCAATATTAATCTCTTTTAAACTTTCAAAAGTATCTTAGCATCTAGTAAATTAAAATAAAATAAAATAAAGTCAAAAACCAACATTTATCCCAAAACTAATTAGTGATCGATAATATTTCAAATTTGATAGGAAAAAGTCTGCATTTTACCAAGAAAGAATAGTTCACAAAAGAAAAGGCAATCCATTGTACTAGGATTTTTATGGAGAAATCTGGATGCGATTGCTCACCAATCTTCCTATTACTAGTAAAACCTAGCATGAACAATTGAATAAATCTTTAAATAGCTGTACATAAAACACATAATTATTCTCGAAAAATTACTCTACATTGAATCCTATATTAAAAAAGGGCTTTAGTAAAACTAATTATTCAAAATATACGAATTTAATTTAACATTCAGATTTGAAAAAAGGGTCACTGATTCACTGTCAGTCACTACAATCAGTAGGGCGCAGGCTGGCAGTGAGTCGACAATCGACAATTCCATTCGGTACGGCTACAGGCAGGGGCAAAGTGAAAAGATTTAGGGATTTTTATTTTTGATTTTTGAGAATTGTTTGAAATGGTTTTGCAAAAGAAAACGGGAATGGCCGAATGGAAAAGAAAGGGGATTATACACGTAAATCAGAATAAGAAAATTAGTAATGGACTAACTAATGGGTACATTATTGGGCCTAAAATTATATAGAATTAGTGGGCTACAGATTAAAAAAAAAATTAGGTGGGCTACCCACTAAATTTACTTGTTGGTGGGCTAATGTGGTTAAATTGAATACAATTCAAAAAAAAAAAAAAAAAAAAAAGGGGTTGCATCTGGGCCTGGGTGACAGTGGACAGCAGCCAAGTGCAACCCACCATTGAATCTACCTCTGTGAGTCATTATGTATTTCTATATAATTCAATTCCCTCTTGGTGTGCTCCTGTGACTTTTTTGGATTAATTTTTGAATTTGTATATGAATATGAAAAATGTAATTGTTGTGTCTTGTTATGTGCATTGTGAAATTTAACCATATGTAAACTGTTATACCTACATTATATTGGGCCTCATTGGACTTGGCCCATTTCTTTAACCCACAGGCCCGTCTCCATTTATTTCTCTATATATACGTGACTCATTTCAAAATTAAGGTATGTTTCTAAACCCTAGCCAATTTTCCTCTCTCAATGCGCTCTTTATTTTCTTTTCATCCAATCGTTGACTTGATCATCGGAGTACAAACTGTCGCTAAACCTTTTTCTCAACCGACAGCCTTTGCCTCCTAATAGAGTGTTCGATGTGCAAGTTTGAAAGGTACGAGGTCACAGATCTGTTGGCGACATTTTTTTGGGTCAACAGATTGGTGCCGTTTGTGGAAAACAGTACTAACCATATTATACCATGTACAAATAGGCCGCCGAAAATATATGGTTTTCTGGGGGCAGCTTTCTACTTGGGAAGAGTAAAGGCAGCAAGTGTAGAACCCCAAATAATTTTAGACACCTTAGTGACACTAAGACATGAATATTGGATGACTAAAATATATTTCATATTTTTAGTCTCATTTGAGACCCATTTTCGACATAGGAAACATTCGATTTGGAAAATTATATCTAAATAAAAGTTGTAACTCTTTGAGTTAGCTTTCCAACGCACTTTGAATTACCTCAATCGAATATCAGGAGAAAAAGTTATGATAGAAACACTGAAAGCCGTGCAGTGTCAACCGGACTACAACCGGTCGATCGAAACTGCTTGAAATGAAAATTCTCGTTTTTCTCTAGAATTTAAATATTTATTTTCATCAATTATTTTCTCAAAGGGCCACTCACGTTTTTGGCAATAAAAACCCCACTAAATTGAAGCATTTAACCTCAAACTTAAATGGCACCCATGTGTTTCTCTCTTAAGTGAAATTTGACCCTTCATTTGCTTTAAGTTATGGGATATTTACCAATAAATAGAGACCTCATTTCACTCATTTTTTCTCACATCAAAAGCAAAAGCTTTTACATACTAAAAAAAGAGTTTCCAAGAGAGAAAAAGAGAGTGGGGAAAACTATTTTTCCTAGAAATTTAAAAAGTGTTTACAAGTATCAATTCTCAACGGTTTTCAAACTTCCAAGGAGTTCATTTGTTTCAACGTCCAAGTTTCATCGAAGTTTTCTATCCAAGTTTTCAAAGTTTCAAAAGCATCAATCAAGGTAGGTAGAGGTACAATGTGTTTAATCGTGTTAAGTTATAAGTTTCGATTCATGTTAATGTTTGTATATCAAATGGTACTTCGGTACGACATATCCCTCTATATTAATGGTTGTATGTCAAATGGTACTCTGGTACGGCATACCCCTCTATGTTGAAAAATGTTTGTATGTCAAATGGTGCCCTCGGGTACGGCATACCCCTTCATGTCAAATGGTGCCTCCGGGTATGGCTTGTATGAAAAATAATAAAGTTAATGTTTTGAAATGTATAGTTTGATCACGAATGCACCTATGACACCTATTGAGTTTTTTAACTCACGGGTTTAATCAAATCTCTACAGATCGAAGGAATTCTACCTCGGGCATGGATGGATGAGAAGATGGAGAGTGATGCAACGAGCCCATGGAAATCCGGTGAATAAGTGATTTTGATTTATTTTTATGAAATGTTTTCCAATGTTATTTCTTTAAAGTTTTGAATAACGCAGAATGCGAGAACAAGTTATGTTTTCTTCAAATAAATTAAATTTTATTGTTTTCAAAAATGATTCAGTGTTTTTGTTTAAAGTATTTGAAGTATTGTTATTTAAATTATTATCCAAAGATGTAAACTTCCGCTAAAACGTATACACTTGTTACTAAACCACCGGTTAAGCTAAGTAAAGTAAGTAGCATTTCAGTCCACTAGGGGTCGGGGCGTTACAGCGTGGTATCATAGCAAGGTTTAGCCGGTTCTGTAGGCCAAGTATGTTTTTTTTTTTAAAAAAAACGAAAGGAAAATGAAAAGTTTGAGGTATTCCATGGTATCGTGCGTCCATCCATCAATCTCATCCTATGGCCCAGGTATGTTCATGTTTAAAGTTAATGATTATATTTATGTTATGATACTTTGATATGATTTAGAGATGTGTTATTTAAAGATATGTAATGGACTTGGGCAAAAGTTAAGGGCTTAAAGGGAATTGTATGATATGAAAGTTTAAATATTTGCATATTTTCTTTAAGCAAAGAAAAAGTATGATGTATGTGAAAATGCAACAGATATGGCTCGTAGAACGGCTAGAGCATATAGAGAAGCATTGAACCGTAGAATTGCTATTCATTCCTATGAAAACTATGTA